TGGGATAAGAAGGTGCTCAAGCATAAGTTGCCCGATGGCCGAACTGTCAGATTGACTAAGTTCAAGGCCAGCAGTACTATAGATACCTATGGCTGCTTGTGCGCATCAACGTTCTACAACTACTATAAGCAGAACCAAGAGGAGGGTATGTACCTTGTTTACGTCTCTGAGAAGGGGGAGGCCGTTAAAACACCCCCAGAGATAGAACGCGTCGTTGCTAAGTTCCCTGATCTGTTCGAGGAGCCCACAGGAGTTGTTGAAAGGGAAGTTGTCCACGCTATAGAAATCATTCTGGGGAGTAAGACCCCAAAGGGAAGGATCTATAGGATGGTCCCTGCCGAGTTAGATGAACTTCGGAAACAGCTTAAGGAGCTGACAGAGAAGGGTTGGATTCGGCCTAGTACTTCCCCTTACGGATCACCCGTTCTATTCGTACCGAAGAAGGGGGGTACTTTGAGGATGTGCATTGATTATAGAGGCCTCAATGCCATCACTGTAAAAAACGCAGAGCCTCTACCTCGCATAGACGACCTATTGGATAGGGTGCAGGGATGCAAGTACTATAGCAAGATAGACTTGAAATCCGGATATCACTAGATCGCAATAAGACCTGAGGACCAACACGAGACATCTTTTCAGACTCATTATGGTCTGTATGAGTTTGTAGTGATGCCCTTTGGTCTTTGTAATGCGCCGGGTACGTTCCAGCACGCTATGAATCGGATCTTCCATGACCATTTAGATAAGCTTGTCGTGGTATACCTTGATGACATTCTGATCTTTAGTAAGTCTGCCGAGGAGCACGCACAACATGTTGAGACAGTTCTCTCACTCCTGCGACAGCACAAGTATAAGGTCAACTTAGAGAAGTGTGAATTTGGTCGCACTAAGATACTATACTTGGGTCATGAAGTATCCGCGGACGGAATTAGGCGGGAAGATGCGAAGGTGGCTAGTATTCGAGACTGGCCACGACCTCAGACAGTCACTGAGGTCAGATCATTCTTAGGARTGTGCGGCTACTATAGAAACTTCGTTAAGAACTATTCTACAGTCGCCTCTCCTTTGACTGATCTAACTCGACTTGACACACCATGGGACTGGAGTGATGAGTGCGAGGGTGCTTTCAAGAGATTGAAGCATGCACTCATGAATCATGAAGTTCTCATGGTTCCCGATCCACAGAAGCCATTCATAGTGACCACTGACGCAAGCCAATACGGCATTGGCACAGTGCTGGCTCAGCAGGATGGGAAAAAGTTGAGACCGATTGAGTACCTGAGTAAGAAGATGCCATTGAAGAAGTTGGCTAAGTCCACCTACGAAAGGGAACTCTATGCTCTCTACAAGGCACTTGTCCATTGGAGACACTTCCTTTTGGGAAGGTTCTTCTATCTGAGGACTGATCATCAGACCCTCAAATGGATCAAGACTCAACCGGCTCTTTCTGATGCACTCAAGCGATGGATTGAGGTCATAGACCAATATGACTTCAAGCTTGAGTACGTGAAGGGAGAGTACAACAAGGTTGCCGACGCGCTATCCCGTAGAGCAGACTACCTAGGTGCGCTAGTTTCTGACTTTGGCGTATCTAATGAAGGAACTCAATCATTGGTGGGAGCCTATCAGGAAGACCCTGTCACGATGGACATCATCCGCAAACTTCAGGCAAAAGACAAGGCCACAGAAAGTGAGTTTGTGATGGTGGACGGGCTACTCTATCTTGATAAGGCCGGAATAAAGAGATTGGTAGTTCCATCTAGTGAACAGTTGCGTAGTTTATTTTTAGGTGAATGTCATGACGCAACCGGGCACTTTGGCTACAAAAAGACGAGTGCTAACTTAGTACAACGATTTTGGTGGCCTGGTATGTTTGATGACGCGAAGAAGTACGTAGAGACCTGTAGGTCTGTTAGCGGGACAAGCCGCGAACTCAAGCACCACTTGGGTTGTTGAAGCCTTTGCCTATTCCTGCTGGTCCAGGACAGAGTGTCTCCATGGATTTCATGGACACCCTAGTGACTAGTAAGAGTGGCAAGAGGCACATCTTCGTCATCATCGACCGATTCACCAAGTACGCTAGACTAGTGGCTATGCCAGAGACCACAAGAACTAACTATGTCATCCAGTTGTTCAAGGACAACTGGGTGCATGAATTTGGTTTACCAAAGTCAAGCGTTAGTGACCGAGATGTCCGATTTACAAGTGAGCTGTGGAAGAAGACTGCAGAACAGATGGGCAATCAACTTCAAATGACTTCAGGAAATCATCCCGAAGCAAACGGACAGGCTGGGCAAATGAACAGAGTTGTACAGCACTTGCTCAGGCATTACATCAAGCCCAGCCAGTATGACTGGGATGAACA